TACCAAAAAAAAAAAAGAAAAAAAAAAGGTAGTTAACTATTTGATATGAGGGAACAAATAATTTCTTTTTTTTTTTTTTCTTTGGAGCATGAGGGAATTTTGAGAAATGAGAGATTTTTTTTTTTCAAATAATTGGTTGGAGTGTAAATCCCAACCAATTAAAACCAAACATTAAGATTTGAGAACAAACCATTAAACTCAAAGATTCGGTTCTTATAATGGGTTTAATTAGTACACATATATATGTATAAAATAATAATTGAAAAATCAAGAAAGAATAATAATAAACTTATACTCTTAGATTAAGTGACTTATCAAAAATATTTGTGCAAACATTGTCAAATAAAGCCTAAAAATTGAGAGTAAGAAAGAGAGGAAACTGTTCTCATGTATCTGTCATCTCACTGCGCCCACAATGCCAGCTGCTCTTCTTCACCATCTTCTTCAACAAAACTATCATCAGATGTATGATTCTCACTTTCCATTTGAAGTGCCAATTCATCAAGGACACAATAAACTTCCTCAAAACCTAATTGCATTGTACTCCCAGCTGAAAACATGTAAACCTTTTTCTCGACCTCAATCCAGCTATGACCTGGTATCTTCTTCAAACCCTTTGTCCTTGCTGAGATTCTCACCCTTGCAGAATCCTCCCATCTCCCACTTGCAGAGTAAATATTGGACAGCAGCATGTAACCCCCGGTTTCATTCAAGTCAGGACTTAAAATTTGGGAGGCAATTTGTTCAGCAACTTTTGTGTTTTTGTGCATCTGACATGAGTTTAGAAGGGCTCCCCAGACACAAACATTTGGTTCCATTGGCATACCTTTTATTATGTCAATTGCTTCTTGCAAAATTCCAGCACGACCTAGGAGATCAATCATGCAAGCATAGTGCTCCATCTGAGGCTTAATCCCAAAATCTCTGATCATCATATCAAAAAATTTTCGACCATTGGCAACAAGCCCTGAATGGCTACAAGCAGAGAGAATGGCAATGAAGGTGACTCCATCTGGTTGGAATCCAGCTTCAATCATCTCATGAAAAGTTGTAAGAGCTTTCTCACCATACCCATTCATCCCATATCCTGTTATCATTGAGTTCCATGAAATTGTATCCTTCCCCTCAATTTTCTCAAATATGAAATGCCCTTCCTTGAGACAACCACACTTTGCGTACATATTAACCAGGCCATTTGCCACTAGAATGTTTTTACTCATCAAGGCTCTAACTACATGACCATGGATTTCCCTACCCAGATTCAATGCCACTAACTCTGCACAAGCTGAGAGAACACTGGAAATTGTCACAGAATTAGCCATTATGTTTGCAAGTTGCATTTTCCTGAACAAATCCAATGACTCCTCCCCTTGCCCTTGGGACACAAAAGCACCAATTACTGCACTCCAGCTTATCACATTAGGTCTCATTGCTGAAGAGTTACCAGATCTCTCTAACTGTGAAAGTATAGCAGAAGCCTCATCACATAAGCCAGCCTCAGCATATGAAATTATTAATCCATTCCAACTAACTATGTTTTTATTATCCATTTCCAGAAACACATTTCGTGCATCATCTACATTCCCATGCTTACCATACAAACAAATCAAAGCGTTTTTCACAAACAAGTACCTTTCAAAACCACACTTTACCACATATACATGAATCAACTTTCCCTTGTTAAAGGCCACCAAATCAGCACAAACAGACAACATCACAGCAAGCGCTTCAGCACTGACCCTTATTCCTCCCATCCTCATTGAATCAAACAACTTCAAAGCTTCCTGATTCCACCCACATCGAGCATAACTCGACAACAGCGATGTCCATGTCACGTCATCTGGCTCCAAACCTTCCAATTCCATCCGCTCAAGCATCTCAAAAGCACCATCACAATCATAATTCAATGTAAAACCCGAAATCATCATATTCCAAGAAATTTTGTTTCTTTCACACATTTTATCAAACAGATGGCGCGCAACATCCATTTTGCCCAGCTTTGCGTACATTCCCAGCAATTCATTAACAACATGAACACGGTTTTGATTTCCAGTTTGTAACACATGATTATGAATATTCTTTCCCAAATAAGAACTACGCAGAAACGCACAAGCCCTTATAACCAAAGGGAAAGTGAAGACATCACCAAAAATACCCTGATTACGCATCTTGACATAAAGTTTAAGGGCAGTTTCATAGTAACCATGAGAGACATTAGCTCTCAAAATTGAATTCCACAAAAGCAAGTTTGAGGTATGCTCAAATGGGCTCCTGTCGAACACCTTCTGGGCATAAAAAACAAGCCCGAAACGAGCATAGATCGACACAATTCGGGCAGCCAAGAATTCCGACCGATACGCACTTCCAACGAGGATCTGATTATGAAC